AATTATATTTAAAATAATTTGTTCTTAAAAATAAAGTTCATATAAGTAAATGTTCTTATATAGCATGTTCTTATAAAGAGGTTTGACTGTATAAAGATACTAGTAGCATATATATCTTTATTGAGTAATTTAGATATTAAAATTTTTTTGAGGAATAAAAGATATTAGTAGTATATATTTTATTATTGATAAGATAATTTATATTAATTACAAAGTTTATTTAAATTAATCTATTTTCCTATTTATAATTTTATTCAATATATGAATTGATTTATTTTAAAAGTAAATTTATATATTAAGTAAAATTTTTAGAAGATAAAAATGCTACTACTAACCTATAAACTATTTAATTTAATTTAGATTTTAATAGTTTATAAGATATATATTTTTCAAGATTAATTAAAATATTCAAATAACTTATTTAATACTTTTTATTTAAGATTTTAATAAAGATATTATATTTGTTATTATTATTTATGATTTTAGATTTTTATTTATTTGATTTAATTTCAAAAAAAAATTTTTTTTAAACAAGTATCAGATTGAAATAACTTTAAGTTAAGATGTTTTTTTGTGTTATAGATTGTTTGTTATGTCAATTGTAATTATAAACTTTTATTAAAATTAGATCAAAAGCTTTTTCTTATACAATCTTTTCTATTTTAGTTTATTTTCAGATCATAATTATTCAAAATATTAGAGATTCCATCTTTATGCAACTTAATTAAATTTGATTAAGATTTAGATAATTAAATATAATATATATAGAATAATTAATAAATTTATATATACAATAAAAGATTTTTAAGAATTATTGGATATGATATAAATAGAATATTCAATAAATCTGTTTATAAAAGATATTTTTATACATTTGTTTTTTGTGAGTATTGAACTAGAAACATGTATTTAAAAACTTAGAAGTATTATCTATTGTACTATTGATTTATAAGTTATTTAAATATTAAAATTTTTTAACTTGATCTTTTATATATTAATTAAAATAATCAAGTTTTTTTTATTTTTTTATTTTAATTAATTTTATTTAAATAATTATATAGATTAAGTTAAATCTAATTCAAATTTAATTTGCATTTGATCAGATTTAAAAATTAAAAATTCAATTTTATTTGATTAAAAATTTAAAAATTTGATTTGATTTGATTTATATCTAATTTGCAGATCAATTAAAACTGTAATCCCTATTTATATTAAATCAAGGTTACCTACTAATTATATCTTAGCAAGTAAAAAATATATATCAATTTATAATTAAAATTTATATTATGTAAATTTGATTAATTTATTAATTTATTAAATTTTTTATCAAATGCTTGATAAATAACATTATATTGAATAAATCATTTTCAACTAGTATGATTTTTTTAATTTAATCTATTTATAATTATAATTTTTATTTAATGATTCAAATAGTATCAAAAAATAGAATAAATCATAATATTAAAAACTTGATAAGAATTTTATACTTTTTGTAAAAATTATTTCTTCTGAAAAAATTCATTTCTAAAAATTTTAATTACGTAATACTGAATTGACAAACTTTTATTGATATTATTAAATGAAAAAATCATAAAATCTCAAAGAATTATTTTAAAATATAATATCAGTTATTATTATTATTATTAATTAAAAATTTTTAAAAAAGGTTTATGATAATTAATCCAAATACAGTATACAGTATACGGTGTCTTATATCGAAACATAACTTGAAAAATTGTACATGTAAATTCTTCACGTGAAAATATCTAATATAAAAAATTTGTATTTTTTTAGGGCTTGAAAAAAAAAAAGATTATCAAATTATTCTTATAGGATGATTTAATTACATATACAGTACAGTATTTATTATAATTAACCTTTGATTGCATTAAAAAATAAACAATATACTGTATTATTAGAAACATCATTTATTTTCACCTTAAAAAATGGATTATTAATTTATATAAGCAAAAATAATAATTATCTCAGTATACAAGAAATATTTTCATTTAATGAATGTTGATAAGAGAAATTAAAGTACTGTATGTACTGTACATAAATGATCTCGAATATACGGTATTATAATTTCACTTGCTATTGAACCTGTAGATACAATCGTACCCGTTAAAAGACGGTGTTCTTATCATGTATGAAAAAACCTTATCCTTGTAATTTGATCTGTGAAAAAGATGATGTAAAAAAGAATTTCATTGTATCTTTTATGCAAAAAGTTCGTTCTCTTCATACACGAGCAAATGAACCTTTCGAATCACGAGTACCATTGATGCACAAATAATTGTCCATTTATTACGCTTCTATTATTGCCCCAAGAGGTTCCTAGATTGTCGAATTTCGGTTTAACTAGTAATTCTGTGTCGAATGCAATTCCAACAGGTTCTATGGTCATCATCGTTAATATTTAGTTCCTTGTTATTTCTCTTTCGGTATTACTAGATAATTAAATATCATTTATGATGATAACCAATCTTTCATTTGTCTAAATTTGAACAACTGGTTTACTTTAGTTCGTTTAACCATTTGTAATTAAAAATAATATGATGCGATAACGCGCGTCCTATGTCAATTCACGATTATGAAATTCATGGAGACGGAATTGTTACATTTCACGGATCATATAATGCAGGCCGCGTCCAGTGGCTGTTATGATATTCCAAATTCTCAGATTTTGCGATTGGTGTTTGTGTATGGGTTGCATGATTTATCTTCTTCATAAACATCGGATTATTTATTATTGTTGACCATGTTAAATGCGGATGCTGTCTTCCAAATAGAGAAACGCTTGCCTCCTTAAAATATACGTGTAATTTGATAATTATTCACGTGATATTATACGAGGAAAAAAACGGGAGATCCAGTAATTGTATAATAGCAACTTATAGATCAGCTTATTAAAGTTAAATCGACCATCTTCAAAATCCGTTTGATTAAGATCACAGTACAAGTCACCTATTGTTCTCGCGTAAGCCCAACAACAAAAGAATTAATTGAAGAAATTTCAATTCACAACGTCATCCGAATATAATTCACTCGTCTCTTTCGATGGAATTCAACCGACGTATCCGGTAATGCGTTCTGGAGATGTTGTTCTCAATAAAGAATTTGGAGAACAATATTTAATCTCTCGTTCATTTTTAGACGCGCAATTAGTGTATTGTGGGCATTTTTCTTTGTATGCCACAGCCCGAATGTTTCTAAATGCGTCTAGACAACATTGACCACTGAATTTACGGTTGAAATGCTAATGGCACGAAATGATACCAATTATTTTCACATTGATTTAAGGGAGTCCATTAATTTCCTTGGTACGTTTTACTCCATTTAACTGTTATTCGCGTTAATCCTATTATCATTATTGCGGTACCCGACGGACTAGAAATGTTTCCTTATTCTTCCACCGATCCTCAATACACACATTCAAATGAAACGCAACTTGTGGTGAAACACTTTCTGCACCCTTTTGCTTAACCATATGAACTTATCATCTGATAAAGATGACGAAAATATTTTGAATTGATCATAACCATATATTATTATTATTATTAGTTCACACGGCACGGATGCATACGAAACACGTGTGTTGACCAAATATAGATCAAAGGTGATACCAAGTATCCGATACCTGAATATAGGTAAAAAGTATCCTTAAGAAGTAGTTGTCAATCTATATGTTACAAATTAGCATTCATTTAAAATAAGGTTCCAAAAATTGGGTTCGCATGAAATTCGAAACACTATTTGGAAAGCACGGCGTGAGTCATCGTCACCTTAATAAATTGTTATATTAAACTCCGAATTGAATGGAATTGAATCCAAAATCGTTAGGAACCTCAATATCAATAATGTTGGATTCTACTAAAAATACAATGTTTGAGCCGCGATTCCTTATAATGGTAAGAGTGGTCGTTTCAAGAACCAATCGTCATTATCCTAAATCTATTTTAATTTTTTTTCGCATTATGGGTCTACGCAGCAAAAAATAGCATCAATGAGCATGGATTCAAAGAAATGTTCATATCAATGTGATGAAAAGAACACCATCACTTATAACAATTATAATGTGAAAATACTCTGCATGAAAGACGATAAATTGTCACCCCACACACGTATTCGTGTGCGTCACGTCCACGTACTGTATTTACTGTTTACGAGTTGGTGATCATACAACATCCGTGTGTTCGCCTATTATTGATATGGCTTTCCTTTTAAAAGAAATCGTCCTTTGGAAAGGGATGTATCTGAACAAAAACATAAGGTAAGAAGTAAACACGAAACGAAGAGCAATGTAATATGAAACAATAAAAAAAATCCGTCAAATATTTGCAAGTTTTTTTTTAATAATAAGCTTAATAAATGCAAGTAGGCACCTTATTGTATTGGTAGATCTGATCAATAGAATGTACATAATAATCATCAAGTTGTACCGAAGGCCAAAAGCAAAAAACAACATAGCGTTCTTATTTATTAGGCATAGATGTTCAGATAAATGTGACGAAACCGTCAAATTTTGTTCACTGAAAAAATGGATCAAAGTACTGAAAGTTTACAATTTATACTAGGAAAAAATTGACCTCTTATTCATATCGTTTAAGATTTTTACAATAGAAAATCCAATAATTAATGCGTAAACAAAGTCAATCCGTTTTTGTTGAATTCAAATCAATGTGTTCTATTAAGCTATAAATATTCTTGATCTCCTTTTTCCAAATTCAAGAAAAAAAAAAAAAAAAAACACGTATTACATTCTTCACCTTATTTCTTGGATACCTTTTCTTCCTCTCCCTCAAAGAAAAACCAGACCGTTTGTAGTCGCGTTCTGGTTCCGTACCGTTTATCTGCTTCGCACGCACTATTCGTGAACATTGTTCATTCTACTTTACATTGTTTATTGAACACTCTTTTCAGAAGATATTCCCTCAGATCGCAAACATCGATTCTTGTATGCTATTCGGTGATTCACACCCGCGAAATAATAAATAATCATGTCAAATGTTATGTGTCAACGCGAATTTTTTAATTTCACATCTACCTATCCATCTCATCAACTCCGCTTCTCTCCCTCCGCCGCGGTTCATGATTCTCACTCTCTTCATCCCACTTCTCCATCGGGTCTACCAAATGTCCTCCCCCCTCATCTTTCTGTCTCGCGTCATCCTTCACCCACCAAACTCCCCGATCCGAAAATAATCCAACAGGTGATATCGGAGATTGATCCGATGACTCACTTGAAAATTCTTTCCCAACTCAAAGTACCCATTGAAGAATTAATCTGTCCCACAACAAAATCTCGCAAAAGCGGAGGTGGCGTTCCTCGTCCTCAGAATCTATTCGTGATCTATCGTCGAGACGTGCAGGCCAAATTAACCGCCAAATTCGGTTCTGAAATTGGATCGCACCTTCCCTTTGTTTCTAGGGAAGCGTCGGAACGTTGGAAACTGGAACCTCAAGAAATTAGGAGTATTTATGAATTCATAGCCGATTTAGCCAAGAAGGTTCATGATCTGACGTACCCAAACTATGTATACAAACCAAGGAAGCGAGCGCTCAAGTCAGCGTTAAGCAATTCAATTTTTAATGATGAAATGTACCACCTGGCGGGCCAGCGGTACAAAGACTTGAACGGCGATTCGCTGAGGACAAATGGTAACGGTCAAGTCGCTCTCGGAAATTACAACACGCACCCCCTCAACTCGCATACCACGTTCGCGAACAATCGACATAATTCGCAAAGACATGGTTCGACCTCTAATGTTCACGGTACTTTTCAATTGCCGCACAATGGGCACGACTGCAGTAACCTTGACAACGACGACAGATATCATCACATGTCATCTGCACAATGTCAACGCCCCCATCCTTCTCCTCCTAGGTTTCATCCCGTGGACGCTCGCGCTTCTGCTGTGAATTCACAACGAAACATTTATGATTACCATGAACCACCACGAGAAGAATGTGCCACTGATAACGCAGACGACTTGTCCCCATTTTCCTGCACGTATGATAAGAGCAACTCCACATCGAATTATACATACCCTTCCCCGACCACCACACATAATTCGTTCACTCAATCTTCCACCGTTAAAGATCAGTCGCATCCTCCATCTAGGTCGACCTCGTTTGCATCGCCATCGACTGGCGTCTATTCACCCACACTCAGTCGTCGGGAATCTTTTACGTCATCTGACCCTGATCAGGAATCCTTTGAAGACCTCAAAACCATGGATTCAGGAAACTATATATCGCGCGATGAAGGGAGTATCGAAGAGGTGAGGCATGATGGTCGTCCAGTCACCAACGAAAGCAGCTACGGCCGCGGCAAGAATGATCGTGATAGCGAGTACTTTTCGATGCCATATCATTCTCATTTTCAATCACACTCATCCAATTTCGCTGCCAATGTTATTCCACAAAGAGAATGCGACGCAGCTCCGCTGTTACCTCCGTTGAACACGTTCTTGACGTCACGAAATGGTGCGAGTGCGATAATCACCAGCCGATCGGACGAAGGTGATGACAATAACTACGATCGTAAGATTTGTAGGTCGTTCGGGGGGCCTGTTTGATGAAACCACTTCGGTGCCAACATGATCTTATTTAATTGATTGATTGATTTTGCTATGTTTATGCCATTATTATGGAAAATGGGTGGATTCTTGTGTATATATTCTCGTGCGAAGGAAGGGGGAGATGTTTTATTTTTACAAAAGTGTCCGTTTGAATCTGTTGCAGGCAGTACACACTTGTACTTATTACTCATTATTGTTTCCATCAATTTTATTAACAATCTTATCTTCCTTTAACAACTTTGCATAAGATATCTACATTTTTTTTTTACGATGTCTTGTGACTTGTGCATTCACACTTCGATTTAAGATAATTCTTTCGTCATATGATTAATTCTTTATTCAAATTTTTGTGATATATATCCTGTGTATATATATTGCATTCTAACATATAGGTTTTTCTTGGGCAGTTTATCATTATCATCTACTTATTGCTTCTCATTTTAAATAAAATAACAAATAAATAAAAAAAAAAAAGTTATCTTTTTGACTATAAGGTGTACCATGCACTTTTATTTTACTGTAGCCAGCTTTGCAGTCTTCTTTGTAATTTCGCAAATTTTTTCACCTTTCAAAACATACACACCTCATCATTTTACGACGGGAGAGACCATAGAGACTTCCTCGACGGCGTCCCTTCGTCGCGTCGCACAGTGACCATTGAGACAAGATCAGGGGAATCGTCAATAGAGAACAATGAATCCTCAATTCCATTTGTTTCCTGAAGAAGAAAATAAATAAGATTAAGTGCGCATAGGCAAGTAAAGATAAACAAAGTTAGATGACGAACGTAGAAACGGGACGGAATAAGAACACAAGTGATGTTAATAATGTCGCAAGACTTCAGAAATCTTTTGCACAGCCTGATTGGTCTTACCTTCTTCAGGAAAATGTTCCATTACAGGTATGGCACGAGTTGAAAGAATGAATAATGGGAAAATGAAAATCATCAGGCTGAGAAAGTGTACCTCACGAGGTTAGATCCAATTACGAAACACACTTTACCCTTTTGTTTCTGGTGAAAAATTTTTTACGCGAATGCTATGAAAATCAACAATACTGAAGTTTTCGTGAACATTTTCATTCGCCACGAGTGAATTATATTGATGAGGAAGGGCACTTGACCCCGTGAACGACCTCCTTCGCGTTATTATTCAAAGACAAACTATTTTCTATTATTTACTTTGAGGCATTGGCTTTGTTATTGCTGCAATTGAAGTTTTTAAGGTTCGGGTGAATCAATTTATCATCGGCGAAAAACAATGGACTCCATTGAAGATGGAAAAAATGTACGATGGACCAATTCTCTTCGCTTTGAAATTATCAGAGTGAGCGATGAGGGCATTCTTTGTCATGACTAATAAAAGATCCACGAAAGGACGCCACAATCAAGCACTGCATGAAACAACTCTCTGCAAGGCATTTTCCATGATATTTGATTAAATAAATCACGACATTCAAGGAAAGCGGCGCCTTCCATTATTGACAATGCGTGAATACAAGAATCTTATTAATTTATTGTTACTGTATTCCACATATTTTGGGCGTTATGCAATAGTTTCTCAAGGGGATCGCGTTTACTACTGTTACCGATTCAATTGTTAGATTCGAGTCTGTTTCAAGAGTCACTCGCCTATCATCATCATCTTTAAGTAATTTTGATAAAGCAATTAAGTAAAAATGGACCGCTGGATGTCCATTCTATTCTAACCCTCACGAACGAACGAACGAATGAATAATGGACCATTTTGAAATTCATTCATGCAATACAGAGTTATAATGCGAAAACATCTTCCGAAAGTATGATATACATATACGTAACGAGAAACCTTATAAATAATGACCACCGCAGTTCGTGAGGATGATTCGTTTAGAAAAATTGAAACAATATTGTCACTTGATGGAGATAATGCGTTTTATTTAAATTTAAATCATGCGTTACTTTTTCCTTTTCGAAGCAATTCCTTATTGCGTAACGTGCCTCCCTGGCGTTACATTCTAAATAAAGGTGACAATGATGATGAAAAAAGTGATTCTGACCATAATCCATTATTAAAAACGGGACCGGATTATGAAAATATTTCAAAAGATCGGATTACGTCTGGGTTAACGAGATAGTTCTTATCACAGAGGTATTTTGTCATCCCTGATATCACCCTTAAAACCATACGTTTGTCGTGTCGTTATCATTATTGTCGTGACTGGTGACCGTCGATCACAGCAAAGTAAATATTACGTCATGCCTTACTTTTGCATTGTTTCGATTCTCGCATCCTATGGTTCTTTTTGCTACAAGAGCATGATTCTTTTATTCGGTGATTCTTAGTTCATGTCAACCATTGCATCTCTGGTGTCAATTAATTAATCATTGAAATTTTACTATAAATGGATATTATGTATTTGACATGTTTTCCATAGACATAAGGTATTCCCCGAAAGATCTCGGAAACGAACATTACGACAAGTAAAAGTTCTAAGGAACGAAGAACAAAAAAAGGATGGATGAATGAATGAATGAATGAACACATGTGATGCAGATTCTCGATTATTATTCGAATGATAAATTCAGGCACACTTTCGATTACCTCGGAATTCAATTTACCAAAAACAAGGCTAGAGTCAATAAAGTAAATAAACAAAAGCTTGGATCTACATTTCTCATTTCTTTCGTTTCTCGATTTAGAATAAGTACTCTAAAAATTTATAATAAGAATAGCGCGGTGAAGGGAGTGTTGCCGAATGACACTTCTATTTTCAATTTAACTGACAGTCAATCTGATACACTTATAGAAATCCACATGAAACAAGGTTCAAAGTTTGTTATTACTTTCAAGTCGACACTAACCATAGATAGCATCAATCGATTTATCATCAGAGTATTTATAATCATCCAAAGTTTGTAATCAACCAGTAACTTACTAACTTACTAATAATTATTTTATCATATCACTTTATCGCGTTGAGCGCTGACTAACATGCTCCCTGTCCATTAAGCGCATCTCTGTATCACACCACGGGTGCTTTAGTCAGCCACTTGGGATTAATCATCAAACACACCGTATTTGGAGTTTACATCAACTGATCAACATTGATTTTAGCATTAAGTTGAATAAGGTAATTTTAACTCTTATTTTAATTTTATTAAAAAATAAAGTTATTTTTTTTTTAAAAAAAAAAAAGATCTCACATTTATCTAATGAAATAACAGAAATAATATTTTTACAAAGCAAAACAAAATATAGAATTGTTGCATCAAAATAATAATTATTATTTTATAATTACTGTACACATTAAAAAATATGTCTATTTTATAATTATATAATCAAAAAAAATAAAATTTTTTTTAATTGGATCAATTTTTAGCATAATCAAAATAATCAAAATAATAATAATTATTGTTGTTGTTATTGTTATTAGCAAAATTTAGATACATTTTAAGAATAAACTTTAAAAAAACAAGGTTCATTTTTTAAATAAAATAACATGATAAAATATGCATATGTCCTGCATATATAACACAAGACTAATGTCAAACTATAATTCACAATGACACTTACACTCTAATGGAAAAAAGGAACCCTGCAATCCATTTAAGCTATTCTAATTTTATATTGGATTACTGATTTCTATGCGTTTGTATGTTTATAAGATTGATCTTATTACATAATTTGAATTGATTTTTGTGACCAATACGTCAAGGATCACTATACCGTATATTACATAGACCTTTGTGCATGAAAATACAATATGAATTCACAAAATCAAGCAGGACAAACAAAAAACCATGATCACGGGATTATGTGTATAATCCAAACACTTGATTTTGGCCCTTCGTTAAGTTCTTGTTATTGTGATTCGAGTTTTACTGCTTAATTCCGAAATTTATATGTTTCCGTCTCTTCCGTAGTCGCGTTCCCCTACAGTAAACGATGACAGATTGTGCCTAAAAAAAATGGAATTGGGTAGAGTAACGAAAATTCGTTCTTTGATTCTCCGGCGAGATTATATAAATGATAACGATAGCACATTTTTCTATTTTTATTATTATGAATTCAAATTGGGTGACCGATCGCATAGCTCTCAGCATTTCAACACAGAAAAAAGAAAGAACTCTGACTTGTCTAGAGCTTTAAATGTCTACATGTCCGATCGCAAATGTTGGATCTGGTGCTTTCAGAAAGAAACTTTTCGTAGCAAAAATACTTTTTAATCCCTCCATTTTAATTATTCATTTACAATTATCATACTTTGAAATTTGCACGAATGTAAACCATTTCTAACTATTTGTAAAAAAATGATTTAAAAAGGTTGATCGACTCGGTGTCTGTCCTTTTAGAATCTACTGATTCTAGCGAGTCTAGATTGAGACGTTTTCTGTTCAATATTTATTTGACTATGTATAATTTTGACCAAAGAACGAATTGCGTAAAGTCAGAACTTTAATCGGATGAAGATGACGAATCACATGTAAACACCAATCCCTAACACAAATAAAATTATTATTATTATTTTTATTTTTATTATTATCAAATTGACGATTTAAATAAAATTGATAAAAACCTTTAAGCCGTTGACCACTTCATCTTCGCCGAGACTTTCTGCGGGAACCTTGCCATACCGTAAGTCACTCATGTTTCCATTTGTCCTTTGAATCATTTCAAATTAAATTTTAGTTCACATGCTGTAATATACGACGCATGAATTCTATCTGACATACACTTTCCCGAAAAAATGAACACACCTTCGAATATCCTGAAGCAGCCTTTTACATTCTTTTTTCATGAAATCAATTTCTTTCAATATACTTTTTTCTTCGATGGAGAGTAGACCGATTACTTGCCCTAGGCTCAGGCGATCATCCTTTTCGAAAAATTTTCAATTTTAACAAGATAATTTCCACGTATTTCTTCAATTTCAAATTTTTTATTTACTTCATCTTCAGCCTCTGTATCATCCTCACGTTCTCTCTTACGTGAAATCTTCATATCGTTCCATTGATCCGGTTTCTGGCATTCCTCGATGGTATTCTTCCTAACCAACTTTCGATTCTCTATTCTTTGTTCATGATATTCTTTGTACAGTGTTTTGATCTGTGGATTGGATCTATTCGGAAGTTCGAAGAGTTGTGAAAATCCTGGGTTAAAGCTCGAAAGGGTGTAAATATATAATAATGAGACGATAAGTTCAAAACCTTACCTGTAAGCAAGAGGAAACTTTTTGGTAAATTGTTGAAGGGTTATACTGTCTTGAAGTTCGCTATTGAAAAAGTAACTGAGCAAAATTGACTCTTCGGTTTCCATATTTTGATTTTTTGGAGGGGAGAGAAAACAAAAGAAATAGTATTTATCAAATTTCTCACTAAGGCGTAAAACTTCAAATATGTATGATTTCTGTGAATCAAAATAACCATACAAGGAAAGGTGGCTTATCGAGTCTACTACACAATACTGCATAAATTATATTATATATATACTATGCTTTATATTAATAAACAAATCCAGGATCTTTACGTGATACATCATTTATATTACTAAAATGCTTTTGATCTTCAACCAAATGCACTTTCGGGTTCGGCCTCAGGTTATGTCGAAAAAATACATTATCCATAAAAGAACTTTCAGATGAACTTACTATTTTTTCCCTTCCAGGGTACGCTCGGTCTTGCCTCAAGTATATGAATTTTCTTTCCGTGAACGCATGCATTTTCAAAAAATGCACATTTAGTTAAATTCTTATTACGGTTTCAAAGAAATGCATTTTTAGTAAGGATTCTACAATATTTAATATATTACATCTGTCGATTTTATATCATCATTTCTTATTTAGAATGTGTAATATTTGAAATCTGATAGATTCTTTTCACACGTATACCCTTTTCGCCAAGAAAAAAAAAATTACGTAGTTTTGAATACACCCTTGGACATCAACTATTTATACTAATTAGGTGTAAAGGATTTCTAATCAAATTTTTCTTTATTAACTAATAAATAAAATAAAATAAAATAAAATAAATACCATTATTCATTCGATTTGTAATAATACACGCACGGTCTTTTTTTTTTAAAAAAAAATTTTTTTTTTGTCAGTTAAAACTTTTCTTAAACGTGTGGCCAATGGTATGAACGAACGAAAAAGCTGCCGGATTGTTTGACGAGTCATTGTCTAAAAAATGTTGGTTCAACTGAAATCGACGAGAATTATGGTGAATTCAAGTCCTCTTTCGCCATCCAAAAAAATCACGAGAATGAAGAAAACGAAAGTCGGGAAAAGATGTTGATGTTATCTTCACCACATACTGCCAACCTTTCAGACTCCTTCATCAACAGATAAACATTCGACCGTTCAGGATCGCAATTTTTCATTGTGACCGATCATCTAATGCATTCGATGAGAGAGGGACTAAGCATGTTCTTCGTATCTTATGGTCAATGATTAGCAGTGAATGCTACAAATCATGAATTCAGCTTAACGAGCATTCATTATTCAGTGTAGAATTTTGATTCTTATGTGCTTGATTTGTCATTCTTCCTTTACACTCAAGATTTCATTTATTATCCCTGCGAACCTCCCTTATGCCAATTTTCTAAATAAAATTTAAAGTTGGCGATCATGCCAATCCTGTTTTAATTGATCTCCACTCGCATTGAATTCTATTCACAAGCTAAAATCCACTCAGATTGAGCGGTCGAGGTGGGCTTTTATAAAGTCACCAATGTTTGCATAGTTTTATTTAACATGAATCAAACTCACGCTAATCAGCGGTGTCTGATCCAATACATTCTTGGTCGAAAAATTAAGAGAATTAAGGAAAACTTACATTCGATGATGTTCGGTTTCTTTTATAATAAATAAAATAAATATAATTTAATTTTTGGTCGAACAAAATAGTCTTTTTTTTTTTTTTTTTTCGCTTAATTTGGAATGTCCCGTTTTGTTTCTGTTACAATTTTTCACAAAGTCGGGCATTCTTTTTGGATAATTTAAAAAATAATTAAATTAAAAACTTACAAAGGTTTGATTATTAATGAATATTCGAGACAAAAGTTGACCCAGAGTCACATCGATCTATTTCTGGTGTTTATTCGTGTGTAATACCAGAAAAGAAAAGAAAAAAAAAAAAAAAAAAGAATAATAATGGTATCAATAATTACAGCCAAATCTCCACTCAGTTAACTTAAATACCGATCCTGATCCTTTGTTCGATTCAACTACCGCCTTGTCGTCCTTTCCTAGTGGCTCCATCATGGAATGAAATGGCTAAGCCAAGACCGGTAGCGCGGCGAATGCGAAATTCGTCCGTGCCAACAACCGATTTGATGATTTGAACTATCCCCACAAGATGATCTGATTTGTGTAATATGTATTCGAAATCGGACGTTGCCTGTACAAGTTGATCAAGCTTCTTGACAGTCCTTCGTATCTTCTTGAGAACTCGATCTTTGCCATAGTTGCACATTGCACACGTCCAGACGTCTAACGAACTCGCCTCCTCCTCATCTATGCCTATACATTCGCAATGGTACCACTCGTGACACACATCGCATTCTATCATAGTCTTAAAATTGTCAGGTCGACGACAAAAACAATAATGTTTCTGATTAGATGGTGGAATGTCCGATGATGTTTGAAAACTCTTTACTCGTCTTTCCCACTTAACAAAGAAATCCGAAATGTCGAATTTGCCCAATGGAATTTCGCAATAAATAGTTGGCCAAAGAGCCATCGCAATTTTATAGCAGACCTTCTTGAGTCTTCGAAACCAACTCAAGGATTTATCAATAAACTGTTGTGAATCTGCCAGTTCAAAATCGTAGCCACTCTTTGTGACACAGTCGTGTATTATTTCCAACTTTTCGGCTGACAATCGAGTCGCCTTTTCAAGATCATTCTGAAAGTATTCTATCATCTTTGATGCTACCTCGTAAGTCTCATTAAAGTCATCCATCAGGCTTTTCAAGTGGTGATTTCTGATACGCATTTGGAGAAAGTGACAATTTTTTTCTTCACCACATTTACATATTTCCGGTGAGTAGCTTGCATGCTCTAGACACAGAATTTGTTTGGTGCACTTGAATTTTAGTGCGGACAAGTAACTGAATCCATTACAATAGTCACACACCATTTCCGCATCCTGATCGGTGAAAACATGAACAGGCTCCGGCAAACCTAGATTCTGAATTACATCCGCTCGAAGCTTTAGTTCCTTTAAGCATATCTCAAACAAGGGTTCCTTGAGCCTGTGTTGAGGTAGAACGTAAGAACATGGTTCATCCTTTGAAAGATTATTTTAAAAAGAGAAAAAAAACTGCCAACCATTTAACCACATTATAGTCGTGAGCGTTCTTCACTCCAATATCCCACAAAAGTTTTTCGTGCGAAAATACTTGATGCCGTTTTATTTCCTTGTAAAATTTAATTGATTCCCCTCCAAACTTTACCCAATCTGGTAGTGCAAAATTAACAGCTTCATTACAATTCAACTAAAATATGTTGAATAGGATAAAGAATATTGGTAATTTGATCAAGTGAAAATAGATAAATTTCATTCCTCTCATATGTATTTTCTTCTTACCCCGTGATTAAAGCCGGCATGGTACGCCTGAGGAAAAGTGATAACAAATTGATTTGGTCTCTGGTCAATTGCACAAACTTCTACTCCTTCTTGCCTTAACTTCTCCGGGTTCAATATTGTGGTCAACTGCGTCAACAGATCCGGTTGATGTTGAAATAACTCCGGTAAAAGCTTCTTAGCGGCTGTCTCGAATTTGTGAGCGTTAGATGAAGGGATGCCATACCAAGTTTTCGTTTCGCCCAGATGCATAAAATTGATGCTATAGGTATAATGGTCTTCAACATGCCAACAAAAAGCAGAAAAAGCCATCCCTACGTAAACCCAAGGTAGCATCATCCCTGGTATGGCAGGAGTGATGTCATGAAGTAGCGAACCAGCTAACCTAGGCAGGTTTCGAAGGTTCCAAGGATCTCTGCTATATGGATCATTACGATCTCGTTCGCTGCAGGGGAAACCGCTAGAAAAGATATTAGATATTTAATATCTAATGATGTATTAAATCATCGAATATTTTCAGTTACTGTTACCTTCCATAGTCAGTTGAATTTATATCCGCCCCATAATAAACCTCTGTGTTGTCATCCATTGCGTGAGCAAGCCTCCAAAATTCTGCTTCGATATGATCCTCCATGGATACTCCAGGTGGAACCGGATGATTTTTGAGGTAAGCTTGTTGAAAGCTGTCAGCAGTCTTCTGCAAATCTCTCAAAGTAAAACCATCCCCAGGCTCAAAACCATAATCTGTGCCAGTTAAGAAAAGGCACATCGGACAATTCCACTGTGCTTCAGAATTCAGATGATCTTTTCGAATGCCAAGGCACTCTCTGTGAAATCGTTTCTCGCAATCTCCATTGCAACTCAAAATCTCATCTTTGGAAACGTCTATGATTGATTTACCACACTTTGCGCATACATCATTAGATTGAGAAAGATCAACCTTGAGATCTAATCTGCCTTTCTTTTTGCACTCTTGTTTTGCTTCAGAAATGTATTTTTCATAAGGATCAATAAATTCGAGGTAACGCTCCTTGATAGTTTTAGAGGCTGATGTACAAGTTTGTGAATATCCACCCTCTTTGATTTCTCGAGCCACCTCAGCCCATTGTTTATTTTTCGATACCTATAAAAAATACAAATAAACTATTTATAAACCAGGTGGCTCATAGTTTTCTCATAGAACACGAAATACCTCATGAGGACCACCACGATCTGAAACGGCTTTAGCCAAATTATGCAAATCGATAGGTGCTTTGTCCAACTGTGGCAATCTAGTAAAAGGGCGTCCTTGTTGTGCATGAAACTGCTGGAGTTGTTCAATATAATTTAATTTTGCCCTTGTTTCACCCTCCATAGTATTAACCTTCTGTTTGCGAGTTTTAAATCTGAATCTCTGTATATAAGCGGATAAGAGAAGGGTTATTATAAATTTTCACACGAACCAGGAACGAAAAAGGATAGCACAAAAGGACGAGAAATTACGGTAGTGTCCAGCGAAAAATTTGGTTTCCATCCTTCAGGTGGTATGATTTTAATAATCCCGTATTTAGAACCTTCTGCCGTTATGCTGGCAATATATTTATAGGGATCCTGAAATTCCGTCCAAGTAGGGTAAAATGTTTTTCCTTCGGGCAGGTTGTAAAGTCGACTTGACTTGACTTCATCTTTATATTGGTATGTGGTCCTTATTGTTGAAAAGTTTAAAGGTTCCACCGTTTTATTTGAATTCACGACCTGTTTTCCCTTTGACTTGGCGATTCTTGCAGAAGACCGGTTATTTGAGCTCACACGAGAGTCCATTCGCGAATTTGCACGGGAGGACTCTGATGAGAAGCTTCCCTTTGTGTTATTCCGATTGGGACGCTTTATGTTCTGACTTTCTTCTTTCCGAGCTACAGATATCATTTCATGATTTTCGGAAAACACTGGCATCTTTCCGGAATTAGATTGGGAAGTCATACGGGTATTGTACGGATGCCTATTCGCTGCCATGTCTGCTATATATTAGTGAATGTGATTTTAGATGATAAATAGGTTGCTTTTCAATCGTGAAAATTGAGAACGACTGAAAAAGATTTCGATTGATGATCCTTGTTATAAAGCTGTCTATTTTTAGTATTTGCTGCGGTACTTGTAACACAATGGAAATTTTTCCATTGTCAACGGTGCTCTTTTTTTCTTTTTGCATCGACTTTTAAATGAGAAGTTTAGTATAAACTTACGTTTGTAAATTTATAATAAATATTATACATTATATTTTGCATCAAATTATACTATATACTGTAATTCTTTTTTTAAAAAAATAATATATTGTAATATATTTATCTATGCAATCTTAGTATTAAATAATATTTTTATATACGATTTTTAAAATAATATAATCTATAGAATATATTTATATTTATATTTAAAAGCGACTTGTGTCAACTATTTTTAAAACTTCAAACTAAAGATTAAAAGAGTATTAAAAGTTTGTTGTTTTTCTTCTTTTGCAAGAAATAAAATCTTGTAACAAATTATATTTGAAATATATTAACACTATTTAAGATTTATTTAACTGTTTGAAATCAATACTTATATATAACAAAAGTTTAAATATAAAAAAAACAATTATTTTTATTTTTTTTAAAAAACTTTATTTTTATTAATAAATAACTTTTTTTTTTTTTATATTAATTAATTATTTATTTAAATTAAAAAAATATATTTATAAAATATATAATTTTTTTTAAAAATTTACTTTTTGTTTCGAAAATTTAAATTTTAAAAAATTTATAAGATTATTATTTTAATTAATAAATTCAAATTTCTTAAAAATTACAAGTTTTAAAAAATGAAAATCCTGTTATTAATTTTAATTTATCTAATCAATTAATTTAATTATATTAAAAAAAATATTTATCTTGCAAAAATTATTTATAAAACAATTAAATATACTTATACTTTTCATTTTAAATTATTAAAAAATAATATATAATACTTAAATAATTTAAGATTAAGAAATTCTTTATACATATTAATCTTAATAAACTTGTTTATTATATTTTGATTTTGACTTATGCAATTATTAAATAGAAAAAAATTATAATATAAATATATACTTTTTAATAATATATCAAAATATATCTTTTAATTGATATTTGTTATCAAATTTAGATATTATAATAATTAAGTATAATAAATTTCAAAATTTTTTAATAGATACTTTAAAACTTATAATTAATTTAAATTATTAAATTTAGAAATATAAATATTAAGCAAAATATATTTTCTATATATTAAAATTATTTAAAAGTTTTTTTATTTAATTTATATATTAATATCTATATTATATTATTTTTTTAAAAATAACTTATATTATACTAATATATTATATAATAAAATTTAAGATCTGTAGGTTTATAATATAGTAGTTAACATTTTACAGGTCAAATCACAAGATACTGGTTCAATCACAGGTGAAGATGATTGAATAAAATATATATGATATCTGGCACCATAATCTGTTATGTATTGTTTCTCATAAAAAGCCATTTTACATGCTAATTCAGCAAACATTGAGATTGTAATCTCCAAAAAAGATATCAAAATACAATGATCATCTGGTTGGAGCATAATGATTGCCAGAAGTTACTCTATAATGGTTGAACTCAATGACCAAAGTAAGAAGACCTTAAAGCTAGTATATGAAATTGCGACTACCTACATTATTGATATATAACTATGCAGCAAGACAGAGTATGCAGGAGTTGCACCCTGCTTGATATTTATATCCTTAGATTTGGCAACTTATGTCAACCAGCCTATCTGAAATGTCTACTAAAAGTTTAAAAAAAAGCCCCTTAAGGAATCACACCTACTTGACCAAAGTGACTTCTAGATTTGATAGCTAGTGCCAACCAGCGGTCAAACCGAAGCATTTACTAGGGAATGCATACTTGTGTCAAAAATTATACAGCTTCTGTAAGCAACTATATATGAAGTGTACGTGATGGAGAAACGAAGTGATAGATACTTACTTAGGTAGTTATAGAACTACTAAATAGTGATAAAAGCTAGGGTATGAACCTACCTCTAGATGTTAGTTAGTATTCTGGCAAAAAGAATAGGTAGTAAGAGTTAACATTAGCAATAGCTAATAGACTTTTCATGTATAGGTAATTGTGATCATAATTGAAACATCAATAAAATCCATATGTATATTGCAACTTAGCCTTAAAAAAAAAAAAAAAAATTATATAATAAAATCTATTATATTAGAAAAAAATATAAACTTGTATTGAAAAAAAAAACTCTTTCCTACAAATCTCCAAATTCCTAAAAATTTCATTTTTTGGTAATATTACAAAACACTCAAAAAAACACTCAAAGAGAATATCCAAAGGAAAACTCCATAATATCTTCTTAAAAACAAAGGAGGACTAACATAACAGGTATACTGTGGGTTCAAAAAGTATATTAACTCTTCTTTATTTCTTAAACTTAGAGACAGATACTTGTGATTCCTCACTGAAAGAAAAGGAAAAACAAGGAATACAATTTACAGTAAAATTAAAAGAGAAAGTCAGCATTACACTTCACAAGCTGCTAGCCAGTCATGCACCAGATTAGATACCTCTCTAGACACCAGCTGGACTCAGTATTGGCCAGATCACACCTGGTAAACCAGGCAACCTTGCACACTAACACAAAATCAGAAGGGTTCCAAGACTTTCTCATTACTGTAATTGAAAAGAAAAGTACAGATCTCAATATTTTTTGAAGATAAACAACACCCATTACGCAATCAGTTTTTTGGTGAAAACAAAAAACCAGAGACAGGTTACTCCTTCCAAAGATCAACAGTAATACAAATACGTACTTTTCAGAATCAAACAATATCAATAACTGTCAAACAAACAAACACAGCAATCCAAAACATAATACGTGTATCCAACAGATTCAAAGTTTACCAAAGTTAACTTACCCCTAAAGCAAGATCTGCAATAGCACGAATATGCTATCACTACAAACAAAGCAACAAAACACAAACAGAGCTTACCAAAACAAGCAGTCCACAAACAACTTGGTATAACACGTGTTAATTTCAATCGTATATACCAAAAAAAGACAACTATACCGTACAATAAGCTGTTCCAAGCAAATCAATATGCACCAAACAAACAACAAATTAAGCCAGTTCATATGTGTCAACCCAGAAAAAGTCCAAAACAATGGCTGACTTCAATCCAATCCAAATAGAAAATCTAATAATAGAGTATTTCAAACTGATAAAAGATAATCACAATGAAGGAGAACAAAGATGGTTCCGTATGTTGATCGAAGATGGCGCAACAAATATAGCATCAGAATTGACAGAATTAGGAGCAATAGTAAACATCACAGTTATAGATGCAGTAGCAGTAAAACTTCTCAATGTCAATTCATATACAGCCGTAAAATGGATGTTAGCTAAAAAATACATCAAACAAATCTGGGCGTTCAATCAACTAGACATGAACATACAAACAGATACATGCTAGAAGACTCAAAACAAGTGTCCCAGATTGTGGATATCCTATATTCAGGTCAAGATTCATGATATGCACAAAACAAAGATCCAGAAACCACACTATCCACTGGACAACCCGAGACAAGAAACTACAACCACATCTATTAACATGAGTCAGTTGAAAGGAGTAAAGGAAATATGTCAGAAAATTACATTAATCAAGAAGATGTAATAAAGCAGGCAAATGAAGAAC